TGATACCTGACACCACAGTTGAAAGGAGGAAGGTGTATCTGAGCTTAGTTTCGCCCCATGGTGGGCTGGCTCCAAGAGACAGCATGGCAGAAGGGTCTGGGCTGAGGAGAGTTGCTCATCCCCTGGAGTCCAGGAAGCAGTGAGGCACGGGTGGAGCCAGGGAGGGACTTGACTGCTTCCAGCTGCGCCAGTGACCCCTTGTTCCCCAGCCCTGCCCCCAACAGCAGGTGGGCTCTGAACTCTTCAGCCAGAGGGACCAGGGTCCAATCACCTTCTGAAAGCCCCACCTCTGAATGCGAGGCTTGGGGCTGTTCTAGACAGAAACCACAACAGCGGGTATGGGTGTGGCAGTCTTGCTTATGGCAGCTGTCCCCAGGCCCTAGCCGCAGCCCGGGCACAGGATGGCACCAGCACAGCAGTGCAGGCCCACGCCACCACCTCAGTCTGTACAGAAGGATTGCACTCCTTCAGTCCGGCAGAGAATGATGTCACAGAGCTGTGCTTTCCCTCTCCACTTCAGGCTAACACAGTCAAGGGCACAAATGTAAAACAAGTGAAGCCACAGAAGATGCTGAGGAAAGCTGGTGTATTCTTAAAATCAGTGCAGACTCCCCATTGGCAGAAGACATGAGCAGAGCGGGTCCGGATGAAGCTTGAGTGCCCAGGAGCCCGGGGCAAGGCAGAATCTCATAGGAGAAAGACAGTGTGGCGCGGCACTCACATGCTGTGTGGTGACTGTCGCAGTGTGCTGACCCTGGCTAGCCTGCAGCTGTGTGGGGTGTGCAGGCATGAAGGAGACCCCAGGTGCATCTCTATGTAGAGTATCTGCTGTGCTGGCTACCTTGTGGGGGTGGGAATGGGGGTGACATCTGCTTGCCTTTGCAAAAAGAGGGTACTCAAGAAGCTGCTGATGGTGGCTCCCTGAGAGCAGGGGAGGGGTAGGGTGGCAGGGTAGATGGGCAGGGGCGTGGGCCACAGTGGAGATGTCAGTGTTTATCTTGTTTTTGTTTCTGTGCAGAAGATCAAAGGAAGGGCCTCATGCACAAGAAATACCACTGAGCCATACTGCAATGTCTGTCTTCTAATGACATAATAAGGATTAAAACATCATACTTAGGGAGAAAGGAAATTAACAGCAAAATTGGTCAGGCATGTGACAAGTCCTGGCAAAAGCAGAAAAATGGAAGGAGATACCGAATAAAGAAGACATTTTCAAACAACCTAATTCATTGAGCTGGTAGCCAGTGATTAGTACTGGAGCTTGGAAGTTTAAAAGGTCACCTTGGTCCTTACCTGCCAACCTCCAACTTCCCTGCCTATATGCAACCAGAACTTCTGTAACAGCTTCCCAGAAATACCATATATGCATGTAAATATATGTTACTCTGCTATAATTTTCCCTGTTTTTGTCTCAAAAGATAGCACAGGACTACTTTCTTCAACACTAGCATCTTCACTTAAGGGTCCCTTTTGGAAATCATCCCACGCCATCCACAAATGCCGTAGAGAGCATTCACTTTTATGACAGCATCATATTCCAGATTCAGGTATTTCCCAGGGTGCTGAACAATGTTCTAACAAGTGCTGAGGATCTATGTCACCTCGTGTTTATCTGCAGGAAAGACTGCTGGGACTGCTGGATCCAAGCATTCATGCCATGGCAGTGTGGACACAGATGGAGAACTGACCTCTAAGATGGACGTGTGCCAGGAAGGCCAAGGGGTGCTTTCACCCTAAAGCCTCACCAAGGACATACACTTCAGAGTTAGCGCTGAAGTGTCACTGATGTCATTGTTGTAAATCCCTAATCGCAATGTAATGTGGCTCAGAGAGGTGACTGAAGTGTCTATGGGGTCACAAGGCTAGAGCCCTGGGATGGGCCTGGTGTCCCATAAGAGGAGGATGAGACAAGCGCAGTCCTGTGCTCAGGGGTCTCGAAACGCTGAAGCTGCTGGCTCCTGATCTAGGTGTTTTGTAAAAGCAAACAAAACCAACTGGGATGCACTGTTTCTATCTTTACCATGCAAAATGGCATCTCTATGTATTTTTCTTTTGAAATATTTTAATATGGAAAGTTTCAAACAATAGGAAAACAATTTTAAGTACACCAGCTCCATTTCAGCAGCTCCCTGCTGCTGTCGCTGCCCTGAGAGGGATCTGCACCTTGTCCTGGCCATCCCTGGCCTGCCTTGCCTGTCCGTGAGGTAGGGGTAGAAGGCAGGGCCTCGTGCTAAGTGAGCTGCACCTCAGCTGTCAAGTTGTTTTTAACATGAACATTTGTATGCAGAATACTTCAACGTTCATGGAAGCTTCTCCATGTGATAGGTCCCCTTCTGCTGCTTAACACTGGTCACAATGAGGGAGGTAGACGTGCCATCCTAGGTCCTGGAGAGTTGGTACTGCTCTGCCACAAGCAGTGTGCAGAGATGGGATGCAGGGCCCCAGTGTGGTTTGGCAAGGAAAAGGACAGCAGATGCTAGGCTAGGAGGGGTGGGAGGGAAGACAGGTAGGAAGGGGCAGGTGGGAAAGAGTACAAAGCCCAGGGTTATCCTAGAGAGGCTGCTGGGCCAGGCTGCAGCCAAGGGGCAGGTGCTGGGAGTCGCGTTGCCCACACCTCAGATTCCAAAGGATGGAGATGAAGGGTCTACGCCACAGCCAGGAGTGGGGAGCTGAGGCAGGATGGAAGTTGGAGAGAGCAACAGGCTAGGAACCAGCAGAGAGGAAGCCAGGTTGGAGGACCCCATAAGGCACCTACCTCCAGAGGGTGGCAGTGCAGGGCCAGGATGTCCCCATCTGCCTGGCACAGGTGCTGGGACAGTGGGACCCTCTGGGGAGCAGCTGGCTGAATGTGAGGACAGGAGACCAGCCTAAGAGGCGGGAGCACCAGGGGCCTCATCTGCTGAGATTCAGGACGGGTGTGCCATGGGGGTGGTGTGGTGAAGAAGGTGCAGGTGATGGGGCATTGGCAGGTGCAATAGTGATAGAGGTAAGGGTGGTTGATGGCCATGGTAGCCAACATGCAAAGCCTGGGTGTTGGGCGCAGAGAAGGAGGGACTGGGTGGGGCAGAAAGTTGCTAGGGAGAACGATATGGAGGGCTGAACATGCTTGCCATTCAACATCCTATTGTGTGTCCTAGACTCCCTGGCCTGTCTGCAGAAACACTGTGTTGGGAAAGGATTCCCAATACTTATGAATATTGGGAGAGGCTGAGACCAACACAAATTGCAGTGTGCAGCTCAGTGGTCTCCAAGGCCTTGGGGACACAAGGAAGGGAGGCTGGCTCCCAGCTTGCATTGCTTCACATCTAGCAGCCTCCCCCAGGTGCATCTGCACAATGTACCTGGGCTGCACGCCCACGCACCCCTGCCTTCATGACCTCTCCCTCTGTGTCCTTGCTTGGGACAGCTGGCCTGCACCTGTCTCTGATCTGCCTGGAGGTCCTGATAGGGCACCTGCTGGGGAGCCTCCAGGATACCTCTGTGCCCTTCCTTTGTTTTTCCTGCCTTGTGGAGCCACTGTCCTCACAGAGGCCCCAGGCTTCTGACTGTGTTGGGCCCCATGCCTGGTACCACAGGCACAGCTGAGTCCTAACCTTCATTGTAAGAAACTGGATTCTGGGGCTACCGTCCCTTTTGGGACCTTCCACATACATCTATTTACCCCCTTGCCAATGGATCACCCTCCAGGGAGGGTGTGAGGCCCTTGCTGCCCAGGAAAGGGGCTGGCCAGCTTCAGTGAGCTAAGTGCCCACTCATCTTGGCAGATCCATGCCAGCCTGCAGGCCCAGGAAGCCACTTCCTGGGCTGTCACTCAGCAGCAGCCTCCTCCTCCCCCTCCTCTTTCTCCTCCTCCTCCTCCCAGCCATGAGGCCTAGGCTGAGCCATGACCCCAAGAGGAAACATGACAAGCTCCCTGTGGGACATGGTGGGAGTCCAGGTGCAGGAGAGTTTAAGTGCTGAGCACTTAAACTCGGGGGGGGGGGGCAAGGATTTGCATCTGTACCCAGGCTTGGGAGGGTCACAGGAAGTGGCCCAGGAACAGACTGGCCCATCTGGTCCCCACCCAGCCTGATCTTGGGACCTTGTGGCAAGCACAGCCCCACTTGCCCCGAGCCCAGGGTCCATCCATTGGGGCCCCAAGTTGTGAGCATGCTTCAACCTCTCCAGGCACATGTAAGACCATTCTCTCTCAGCTGTCCCAAGAAGGGAAGTTAAGCCCAGGGACAGGCCCAGGTACACCTCACCTTCATCCTTGCTTCTATGTGGGGCAGCAGGGGGTGAGGAGTGCCCACCGGCCCTCAGCTAGAGGACAGCCAGCTCATCTCGCCTCGAGGGGCTAAACCTGCCCAGCCACCCACTCAGGAGGGCCTGGATGATGTTGGACACACAGTGGCTTCAAGGACCCAGATTCTCCCTGAGGGAGGGAAGAAGGGAGGGGACAGGACAGGCAGGAGGGGGACACTGACCCTGAAATCAGGAGGGCTCACCTCTAGGCTGCTGTCCCAGCTGCACCTTGCCCTTCCTCACACAGCCTCGGTGCCCGTGGCTCCTTGCCCAGCCTCCAGCCACAGGGGGCAAACCCAGGGATAGAGGGGGTGCTGCTGTCAGCAGCCTTGCCCCACAGCACTCACTCCTTGCAGGAGCACATACGATGTCCAGGTACAGCTCCCAGAATGCCCACCTTCACTGGGCCTCCTTCCCAGCCAGCAGTACCCACCCTTTGTGCCCTCCCCTCCCCAGGGATGACACACAATCTCCGCCTGCAGCAGGCGGCTTTATTACACTGCCATGGTGCCAAAGACAGTGTGGGAGCACAGGAGGTGGCACTCACCTCCATGGCCAGCCCAGGCAGCGGCGGGCGGACACTCCCCAGAAGCTGGGGTGGAGCAGCTGTCTCCCAGGGTCACTCTTCAGTTGTCCCAGCTGGCAGTCTCGGTCCTTTACCCCAAAGCAGCATCTCAGATAGACACATTTATGTATGTGCACATGTTTAATCTGAACCATCAGCTATAAAATTGAGACAGATCACTCTCTTTACGTTCATGTCACAGTAACTGTGCACAGAAACAAGGAACCCAGTATTGATGACTCAGAGCAGACATCCCTGCCCCAGGAAAGCACTCGGGGAAGCCAGTGACACAGCCTGTGTCCCTGCTGGTAGCAGCTACTCTCCTGCTATGCTGGCTCTGTCAGTCCTGCTGCATGCCGGATGCACATGCAAACCCAGAACACGGAACTCATCCTGCAGGGGGCCATGTCCCTCAAGCCTCTGTGAGGTGGGGCCAGAAGCCAGGACTGCCAGGAGCAGTTGTCCCCTCACCTCAGCAGTCTGGGGTTGGGGTCTCCAGGTCAGCCGCAGAGGTACCAAGAGAGCACAGAGCCCATGGAAAGGTGGACTGTGGCCCGTCCTGCCACCAAGAAGGTGACTGTCTTTTTTGTGTGTGTCATTTGATTCTGAGTCCGGCAGACAAATGAATACAATATCAAGGGTTATTAGGCAGAGACGATGATTTAAACTTAGCTAGACTCTGTCCCAGTGCCACTTCCAACCCCAGCAGAAATAGATGTCCAGGCAGCTCTGCCACTTGCTGTCCCTTCAGAAGGTAGGGGCACCTCCATTCCACCCACTCCATGCTTGCAGCCATCAAGGTTCCAGCGGCAAGACTGATGACAAGGGTGACCCAAAGGACTTCAAATGCAATTGGTGTGTCCCTTCTCTGGGGCCAGAAGCTGTGTGGTCCTCTCCCAGGAGATGCCAACCTCCCTCCTCATGTGACAGCACCCATCCCTGCCCTAAGGGAGATGGGGAGCCCTGAAGACAATGCTTCTGGTAAGCTGTGCTTCTGCTACAAAAATGCCTGAGGTCAGAGAGACAGAACCCCACAGGTGGGAGAGACCCCAGGGTCAGGCTCTCTCGCCCCACTCAGGGACACCTGGAGGCACCCTGGTCTGGCACTCGCCCCAGTGCCTGTTGGCAGACATCTGGCAGCCTAGAAGTTTTCTGCATCCAAAGATAATCCATTTCCAAATTCCCAGATTCTTTGCCCAGTTATGATGAGCAGACAAGCTTCAGTTCTACCCCAGTGACACGGACTCTCCTCCTGTTGCCCTGGAGTGCCTGCCAGGGCTGCACCCCATGATATCAGCTGTACCCCACGGCTGTGCCCCAGGCCCTCCCAGCAGGGGCTCCCCCTGCCACCCACCAGGGGTGGGCCATTTCCTGCAAGTGCCCTGCCATGACTTTGGACCTGTGAGTCACTGGCTCTGGAGACCAGGCTCAGAGGATCCAAAGCACCCCGACAAGTGCTCAGAAATGCCCAGACACAGGACACTTGTGTCACCCACACTGAGAAACCCAGGCCCAAGTTCTGTCACAGAACCTGGCAAGGAGACAGGGAGGACAGCTCCCTTCCACAGCAGGTGGAGCCCAGAGGCCCAGGCTTCCAAACCTGGCTGCCTCCATCCCTGGGTCTCAACCAGCCTGAGGGGTGTGTCACACCAGCAGGGACTTGACAACACCACAGTGGAACTTGCGTACATGGCGGTACAGGTCCCCAGACTGTGTGAACCGGCGTTCACACCAGTGGCAGGCATGTGGCTTTTCCCGTGTGTGCACCACGGCGTGCCGGCTCAGGTTGTGCGAATACTGGAAGCTCTTGCCACACTGCATGCACGTGTAGGGCTTCTCCCCTGAGTGTGTCCGCTCGTGCCGCTTCAGCGTGTAGGTGCACGAGAAGGTCTTGCTGCAAAGAGGGCAGGTGGGCACGGAGCCATCAGGCGAGAGCCTGGCCCGGGTGCCTTCCCGCTCCCGGAAGTGTGCACTGAGGTGCTGCTGCAGGGCGTTGGCGCTGGGGAACAGCTTGCAGCACAGCGGGCAGATGCAGAGGCATCCTCGGGGACCCAGCTCTTGGACGCTGCCCGCCACTTGTTTAGAACCCAGCTCCAGCTCCTGGCTGACTGCCCTGCGGCAGGACAGCAGCTCTAAGTCCGGTGGCAGGAGCTGGGTTGTGGGGCCACAGGGTGGCTGGAGAGAGCCGCGGGGGCTCCGAGGGCCATGGCTCTCCTGTTCCCAGGGGGCATTCTGCTCATCCTTCACCAGAGCCCGAGCACCTAGCTGCCTCTGGCTGCTGCCGAAGGATGTCTGCACTGGCTCGGACCCGGGGATGGGCTTTAGCGACAGGTCCAGGGCCCGGTCTGACTCTCGTGGGGCCTGCCAAGGGGCAGGCCTGGATGCTGGCAGGGAGAGCTCAGCTGTCTGTGCAGTAGGGTGGAGGTCCGGGCTCCACACAGGCAGGGGGCACGGTGACTCGCCCTGACGCTCTGTACGGAGAGCAGGGGCCTCCAGCTGCAGCGCCAGGTCCTTTTCCCTGAGCCTGCCCTTGCAGACCTTGACGATGTCATACATGTGCAGGTAGCTGGCAGCGGCCAGGACGTCCTCGACGGGCAGGCTACGCAGGTCCAGGCGGCCCTCGTACATGAAGTCCAGCAGGCGGCTGAAGGCGGGAGCCGTGACGATGTCGCCGTTCAGCCGCACCGTGTCGCGGCCGCCAGCGGGCCGGTCCCGGTAGAAGAGGTGGAAGTAGACGCTGCACGCGGCCAGCACTGCACGGTGCGCAGGGAAGCGCGCGTCGCCCACCAGCACGGTGCAGTCGCACAGGAAGCCCAGCTCTCGCTGCTGCCTCAGGCGGCCCAGCAGGCGCCCGCTGTGCCCCGGGAACTCCATGCTGCCGCCGTCATTGCCGGCGCGAACGGGACAGCCGTCAGGCCGGTGATGCGCGCGCCCGAGCCGCTGGGCACCTGCCGCGAGCAGGAAAAACTCGCCCGAAAGTAAACACGAGCCGCACCGACCCGGGAGCCCGGCGCCCCCTGCTGCCCCGCGCCGCGCCCTAAACGCTTGCCTCCGGGCCCGCAGCGCACGCGACGCCACATACCCCGACGCCAGGCCGCCGCCTGGCCCCCTTTTATGGCGGCAGGGCGCTGAGCGCTACAGGCCGAGCCAGAGCCCGCTCCCCTCGCCGCTCCCCCCCACCCCGCGCCGGTCACCGCCTCCCGCGCGCCCCTCGCCGGCCCCGCCCGCCCGCCGCTCGCCCCGCCCCAGGAGGGAGGGAGGGAGGCAGCGCCCTCCTAGCCGGGCTGGAGGGGGCGGGCCGAAGTACTTCCAAGAGCGGCGGAACCGCTGAGGTCATCTAGCCACCCCTTCCCGGTGCGTCCTGCCCGGCTTACTCCGCGCAACCGGCAGGGGCGCTGCGGGCAGAGGGGTGCGGGGTGCGGCGGGTGGGGTTCTCGCGATACTTGCCCCCATGCTGAGGTCCCCTCCGGAGCGCCCGCGTGGGGGGCGGTCAGCAGACTAGTCCTCGGGACCCGGGGAGGCGCCGGGTCTGGAGTGGGTGGGGGTGTGTGGGAGGAGGTTTGTACGTCTTTAAAAAAGACACCCCTTTCTTCCCTGGGAGTCTTCTCTTGTATCAACGTCCAGACACAGTAGAGTCTCCATCCAGCACTCCAACATAGGCAATCCCACCCTCCTAGCCCTGGACAGGGTGGGAGGCAGGCACGCTAAACTGGGTGTCCCAGAGCACAGGACAAGGCCCCTGTGGGCAGACAGTGTCTGGGGAACACATGGTGTAGTGGAGGGACAGAACTAGGGTGACTATGATCAAAGTGGGGACGCGAAGAGGGGCACGTGTCCAGGTAGGATCAGGGTCGGTGGCAAGGATTTGAGGAGACTAGGTTCTTCCCGGGACAGCAAAGGATGGGTTGCAGGGGCTGGGGCCCTTCCCCCCTGGCACAGCCTGGGGGTGCTATCTGAATCCCTGCCGGGCAGCGGGCGACTGCTCAGCTTAGTCCTGCTCATTGGATGTTTTTATTCTCTTTGCGCTAAAAAGAGGCTGAGATACCCAGAACCGCACTGCAGGTGCCAAGTTGCTGGACCAGGGTTCCAATTCCACAAGCCTCATTTGGAACTCTTTTGCCTCGCACTTGCTGGGAATCCAGGTGTGGAGTCCAGGCATGGAGGATGCGCCAGAAGGGTGGGCACAGCACCTGCTGGGGGTGGGCAGGGGTGGGGGAACAGGGGCGGTATAACAAAGGACTAGCAGTGGGGTAGGGCGCCCCCAATCTCCATGCCTGAGAGCAGATTGCCTGGCTGTGAGATGGGGTGCCCCTGGACAACTCAGAAGGGCTCCCAGTAGTTCTTTCATACCTGGTGGTTTTGGGGTGTGAGGGGCTGCTCCAGATCCTGAAGCCCACAGAAATTACAATTTAAAGTCTGTGAAAAGAAAAGCCTTCCCCCCCATTAAGACATTATTGCTTGTTTGTGTGACATTCACATTTGACTGGGCATCCTGTGTTTCTATTTCCTAAGTCTGCTAACTGCAGCTTGGAATCCCAGAATCAGACCAAACACCCAGCCCTCAGGCCAGCAGAGGGACAGCAGGCCCCTGGCCCCCCTTTGTATAAATGTGACCCCCAATAGCTGGGTTCAGTCCAGCTCAGGGTAGAGTCTGTTCTGGTCACCCCTCTGGGCCTGCCAGGATCTGAAGCCAGTCCCTCCAGCCTTGGCTCCTACCTTGATCCCTGTGAGTCTTGGTAATTCTTGGCTGCAAAGTGGGAACCCAAGTGCCTCTCAGAAGCTATGTGATAGGGACCGCAGGGCCTTTGTGCTGCTGGTCACTTGGTCCTGGAAGGCTTACCCCCAAGGTCCTTAATGGCCCTCTTCATTCCTGTCTCTGCTTGAAGGCCCTGTCCTTAGCTAGGTGTCTTCTCAGGTTCCTGAAACCTACCCTGAGCTCTCCTGGGCCTTCTCCAGAGTAGTGTTCAGGGAGTGCACATAGCCGGGGCGTGATGACATCCTCTGGAACCCTAGCCCTGATTCCTCCATGGCTGCTGTCTAGCATGGCTTCCCAGCCTGGTCCTAAGCCTGCGTTGTGTGGCTGGCAGGACCAGAGCTGTGGGGTGCAAAGAGGGCCAGTACCTGTAGGGCCTGCCCAGCTGGCATGACCAGAGAGCAGGGAAGGAGCAAGAGAGGCCCATCCTCTCCCTGAGGACCCATATCCAGGTGTGCCCCCCCAAAAAAAAGAACCACCTGTGGCCTAGGACACCCTCCCAGCCACAGTGTGGTGCCCTCAAGCAGACTGGTGGTGGGAGGCAGTCACAGAGCCCCCATGGGGGGGATATGGGCAGAGCCTATCCAGACCAGGGCATCCATCTGGCCTGGAAAGTGCCCGAGGCCCAGCCTGCAGCTGCTGTTGACGCTTTGCAACCTGGACCCTCAATCATTCTTGAGGGCTGCCAGTTGTGGAAGGTGACAGGGCAGGAGGCAGGGGCCAGTGTGGCAGTTTCTGTTAGTAACATCTGGCTGTGGGCAGTGACCAGGCTGCTCCAAGGCTGGCTCTGAGGGCTGGGTCATCTCCTTGCCACTGTCAGGGTCTGCAGGGCTGCTGAGAGGAAAGGCTTGCTTCTACCTGGGGGGCTAGAGAAGAGGGGTGGCCTTTCCACTGGGAGAACCTTCCTAGACCAGTGCCCACAGAGGGAAGCCAAGACTGGAGGTTGCCTGAACTCTAGGGAGCGGCGGGCTTGGATTTACCCAGGTAACAAGCAGGGACGCCCGCCCCCTGCGGTCGGGCCAGAAAGCAACCACATTGCTGTCTTCCACAAGAGGGCGCCCTGCTGGCTCAGTGGTCACTGGCCAGCCACCATGTCTGTGGGACAGCCACAGGGGGCGGGGGTGGGTGAGGGATGGGTAGGCATCTAACACTGTGATCTAGGCAGTACCCAGGGCTGCCGGTGGGTCGTGTGAGCCGGGACGATCCCTGCCCGGAGGGTGTTCTCTACCTGCGACAGTACTTAGGGAGGGTCCTTTTTCTGGTCAGCCCCAAGAAGCAAGGAGAGCCCTAGCTGTAGCTGCCGACTCTATCTACCCAGCACCCAGCCCCAGCTGAACGCTGACCCTTAGATGAAAAAGGAAGAATTGCCTCCACAATCCCCCGCCCAGTGTCAGGGGTCTTTTCCCTAAAGGATTAAGATCTCTGGGGGCTGCAAGGGGGGGGGACAGGTCAGTGAGGAGCCCACGGCCGGGGGCAGGGCAGGACAAGTGATAGGTGGGAGACACTGTGGCCCCTGGTGCAAGAATCAGGGGGCGCCTTGGGGGGCACTCTGCAGACAGGGTGTCCACCCACTGCGAGTCCTGCCTTCTTCCTCGGTCTGAACCAGCTCAGGTGGGACTCAGGCCAGGTGTGTCCTCCTCTGACATCTGCTAAGTCCTTCACTGCATCTGTGACCTAGTCTCCCCACATGCTCTCCCCACACGCTCCCTTCTGTCCTTTGGGGACACCACTGGCTGGTGACTCCTTGCCCAGGCGTGAAGACACAGCACTACCGCCCACCCCAGCACGATCTCAGACCTCTGCTAACAGGGCTGGGGCGGTAGGCCGGGTCACGCTGCAGGCGGAGACCCCCGGCCGAGGAGCCCCGTTGTGCGGTTAGTGTCCGGGACCCGCGCTGGCTCCTCCTCGCCGGGGCGAGCTCCTCCCTGGCCGCCGGCCGCGCGCTAGGGGCGCCCGGGGCTGCGGAGGCGGATGTGGGCGCGGCGCGGGCGCG